AGCCATGAATATATGGTGGACTGATATTCCTCTTCACAAAATCCAGATTTAAGAAAGGGTCAATAAAACTTTTGTCTAAGATGTTGCCAAAGGTGAAAATTCTCAGATGTTTTTCCAACAGGCTGTCAGCTATGTGAATTTTTTAAAAATTCACCACCAGGTCGGGCGCGGTGGCTCATGCCTGTAATCCCAGCTCTTTGGGAGGCTCAGGCAGGCGGATCACAAGGTCAGGAGTTCAAGATCAGCCTGACCAACATAGTGAAACCCCGTCTCTATTTAAAAAAAAAAAAAAAAAATTAAAATCGCCACCACTTTTTTTTTTGGCTTGGTAGTTTTTAGTTTTTAGACTACACTATTATTGACCATTGTTTTACAGTTAAGGAAACTGTAAATAGAGCCCCTAGTAGTTAAGTAATTGCCCAGTTCACAGAGCTGTATATGCCAAAGCCACAGCAAGAACTTAGTTCTTTCTGGCACCAAAACCCATATCCTTTCCATTATCCTTTATTGCTTAAAATTACTTGTTATATAAAGTAATTTGGCAGAAATCAAATAAATTTGAGAAGACATCTCCAGAACTATGCTGTGACTTTTAGAGCAGACTATGTGAAGCTTCTTTATGTTAGCAGTTAGGTAACCGTACCAATTGTTACTGAAGATGCCCCTCATCCAATCAATCCACCCATTGCCATCAGCCGACAAAAAGACTCACACTTCCAACATCTGTAACAGGGAGGCACACATCCACATCATCCAAAAGCAGCTTCAGACCACAAAGGTGTTTGAGACAATGAGGTTCTTCAAAACGGAGTCCTGCTTTGTGTCACTCACAGTAGTATTTGGCCTCGGGGAGCCATTTCTCCCAGTCTCCACTCTTATCATTAAGATGCAAGTGTTGCATGTGGATCCGTAACCATGTAGTCAAAGGCTCATGAAGAGTCAATATAATTGTGATGTTCTATGAGCCCTGCTTCCACAAAGCAGCGCAGGGCTCTAGGAAAAGAGATTCATCCAAGATGACCCTTACTTCCCCTTTCCCTCCCTGCTTCACTGTCTCTCTTGAGTCATGCCAATTGGGCCAAGTTCACTGATGGCCAGGATCAACATGTGTCCATAGGTCATAACTACGGCCTTTCTATTCCATTGCCTCCTTCCATATGAGTGGAGCAGTAGGGAGCCATGTAGACATCATCGTCTCCCTGCATTTACATGCAGGCATGCTCATCATGACAGTTCCCTGTCCCTGCAGACCAAAGTGTGGTAAGACCCAGGACTTGGGTTTGGGCTAAGGAGGAGAAAAACATGCCGTAGGGCTCTTTTAGCCTTGGTCATTGCTCCAGTCAAGTTTACAAGACGAGCCTGTGGGGACTTGGGATACAAGTCCTGTGATGTGTTATTTTTTTCTTTGACATTTATTTCCTGTTTCTTTATGTGTCTCTCTCTTAGAGATTTTCTGTAGTCAATGACAGGATTTCAGTATTCCTGGATCTGGCCAAGATACTATCTTAATTCTATCAAACCCCTTTTAAAAATTTACAAATTGATTTTACAAACAAAGCTATGCTTATAAAATGTTGACATGGGAAATGTGGGTTTTCAGATTGTAAAGAAGGAAATTGACTTAAAAGTTATTTAGAATGATGAGGAAGAAAGAAGAGAAGGCGAAAGAGGAAAAAAGTCTAAAACAAAGTGAGGTCAAGGGATAAATTAGGAGGTTGGAGGAGGAGAGTGAAGAAGAGAAACTGAGAAGCAGAAGGAGGAGGAGGAAGAGAAAAAACAAGGAGGAACAAGAGGAGAAGTATAAGGGGAAGAGGAGAAGAAAGAAAAAGAGAAAGAAAAAGAAGGGGGAAGAAGGAGGAGGGGAAGGAAGACAGAAGGAGGAAGAAGGAAGAGGGGAAGCATAGAAGAGGAGGAGGAGGAGAAATGCGTAGCTATGTTGTTTGGGGTAAAGATAGTAATTTCTCTTTTTGAAAATAGAATCAAGACACAGGAGAATAGTCTGTCATCAATGTCAGACAAATAGAATGTCTGGACTTAGTCACTCAAATAAAGGACATAGCAACGACGCACTTGAAGTATAGCATAAATAAATAAAACCCAATGCAAAAGAGGGACAAAGCATCTGATCTAGAATAAAATATTACTCAAGAGGCCGGGGCAGTGACTCACACCTATGATTCAAGCACTTTGGGAGGCTGAGGCAGGTGGATCACTTGAGGTGGATCACTTGAGGTCAGGAGTTCAAGATCAGCCTGGCCAGGGAAACCTCATCTCTATAAAAATACAAAAAGTAGCTAGGCATGATGGCACACCCATGTAACCCCAGCTACTCAGGAGGCTGAGGTGAGAGGATAGCTTAATACTCAAGACCAAGATATAGTTCAGTTAAAGTGTTGTTCCAGTCAAGCTATTGTTTCTCAATTTCAAACCCACTTTCCGTAGTTGGCTTTGTGCTGTTATGACAGGGACTCTGCAAATGTTTCTTATTGCCAGCTGGGGGAAGTTCTGCCAATAGGAGGCAATAGAGAGAGGCGGCAAGGCTGAAGCGAGGACTTACCCCCTCTGTCTGCTTCCTATTGTCATATTACTGTTAGCATCACCCAGTGCTGCTTCTTTTTCAAGAATTTTCTTCTCATATCACTTGGGTCTAGTTTGCAGTTTTTCCAAATTCATAGAACCAGTCTCATTACGCCCTACCTTCTGCTCTGGAAACACCAGCACCAGACTGCCAAAGCCCCCTTTCCCAGAGGTCTGAGGTCCTCCCTCAGGCTCTATGTTTTGATACTTCCAAGTTTTTCCCTTTGTTTCCCCAATCTTAATGCTAGCAACTCCCACCTCAGCCTCCCGAATAGCTGGGATTACACGGATGCATCAGCACACCCAGCTTATTTTTCTATTTTTAGTAGAGATGGAGTTTCACCATGTTGGCCAGGCTGGTCTCAAACCCCTGACCGCTAGTCATACACCCACCTCAGCCTCTCAAAGTGTTGGGATTACAGGCGAGAGCCACTGCTCCCACCTTGCAACATAATTTATGTTGGGCTCAGTCTTCTTCCGAGAAACATAACGCTGGGAGACAATGGAGCACAATCTACAAGTTTCTAAGAGAAAAAAAGTGAAATCCAAAAATATTTTAACAAGTCAAGATGTTCAAATATAAAGACAATAGCCAGACATTTTCAAATATAAAAGAACTTAAAGAATACAACATCTACATGTTTTTCCTGGGCCCAGCCGCCATTGGTGGTGGAATGGGACCATGGTGGTCCTGAGCAGTGTGAGGCAGGGTCCGTGGAGGACAGCTGCTCAGGGAAGGTGCCTGATCCCAAGCTGAGGGAAGAAGGTGTCCATGAAGATGGGAAGCCTGGTGTGGGGATTCAGGGCTGAACAGGAAGAGGAAGGCATAGGGATTGAAGTAGTCTAACCTAGGGCATCAAAGACTATATATTTCATCATATGCATATATATATATATATATATATATATATATATATATACACGCACACACCTTATTTTTCTGGAGAGATGCAGAAGAAAAGTAATGTGATGATCTAGAAGAGGAACTTGATAGTGGTAGGAAAGAGCTTCTGTTTTTCATTTTCTATCTTCCTGCACAGTTCATTTTTTACTAGTTACATGTATTACTCTAATAAAAACAAATACAGGAGGCTGGGCACGGTGGCTCACAACTGTAATCCCAGCACTTCAGGAGGCCGAGGTGCGGGGATCACTTGAGGTCAGGAGTTTGAGATCAGCCTGGCCAACATGGTGAAATCCCGTCTCTATTAAAAAATACAAAAATAAGCCATTTGTGGTGGTGCATGCCTGTAGTCCCAACTACTTGGGAGGCTGAGGCACGAGAATCACCTGAACCCAGGAGGCAGAGGTTGCAGTGAATCAAGATCGTGCCACTGCACTCCACCCTGAGCAACAGAATGAGACTGTCTCAAAACATAACAACAATAACCAAAAAAAAGCTAATACATAATAAATAATGTTAAAAATTTTTATTTTTCTCTCTATAGTTAAGGCAAAAAGTGAATATGGATCAGCGTCATCAATTAAGTCAAGTAACAATTTGGAGAGCAGAAAGTCTTTACCTGATGTTTATTTACTTTAGGCTTTTTAATTTAAAGATCTGTGTGAGGGATTGTTCTTGGTTATCAATTAACCAGGATTCTAGAACACAGACTTTAAAGCAGTTTTATCAGGACCTTGTAGCTGACAAAAGCCTCTTATTTAATTTAGTCTCTGTTTCAACGACTTTTTTCTCACCCAGACTTTACCCTGTGGAATACTTTTTAAAATTGACCCTTCTGTTTGGGTCAAAGTCCTTTGACAAGCATCAGACTTAGAGCCTTTGAACGTAATCAGTTTAAATAGAATTTAAAGTTGATAAATTCCTGTGTATTTTCTTTCCTATTTCTTTAAAAACTGCCTTCTCTATATAGTCAAGGGGATTTTTCTGTTTTTATTGTTGCTTTGGCTTCCTGCAAACATCCTTGTAAAATCAGGAAAGGCTAGGGCAACGTCTGCACTTACTCAAACATGGAAAGGTGAACACAGATTTTGGGTTTCGGTGATCTCCTGATATGGACAGAAAAGTGCCTCCCACCCTCAGGGCACTTCAAAATGACAGTTTCAAAAGGCACTTCATGTGAAAGTGTAAATGAAGTTTCAAAAGACCATCAGACAGCAAGAAATCATTTATAAAATTCTCCAGTCCTTTGGCAATGCAGAACAGAAGTTAAGTGTTTGGGTGCTTGTGGCAGACAGACATGAATTTGAATCTCAACTTTACCACCTACTTATAATGTGTCCACGAGCACATATTGTAATTCTAATTCTAACTTAATTCTAACTCTAATCTAATTTCTCCAAAACCCAGTTCATTTATCTATGAAATTGAAATAATAAAAGTACCTAACACCTGGAATTACCATAGATTTATTTAAAATAGGCCAGGCACAGTGGCTCATGTCTATAATCCCAACACTTTGGGAGACCGAGGTGGGTGGATCACCTGAGGTCAGGAGGCCAAGACCAGCCTGGCCAACGTGGTGAAACCCCATCTCTACTAAAAGTACAAAAATTAGCCCAGGTATGGTGATGGGTGCCTGTTATCCCTGCTATTCAGGAGGCTGGAGCAGGAGAGTCACTTGAATCCAGGAGGTGGAGGTTCCAGCCATCTGAGATCGTGCCATTTCACCCCAGGCTAGGCAACAACAGCAAGACTTCATCTCAAAAAATTAATTAATTAATTAATTAAATAATACATGTCTGCTACAAAGAAAGCACTTAATAAATATTAGTTGTTTATTACTTTTTAAAAATAATTGTCGCTGTCTCAATTTATATTCCCAAGCTCACCCTTCCAATTATGGGTTATAATAGGCTCAGGGGGCTGAGCACAGTGGCTTACGCCTATAATCTCAGCACTTTGTGAGGCCAAGTCAGGCAGACTGCTTGAGCTCAGGAGTTCAAGACCAACCTGGGCAACATGGCAAGACCCCTGTCTCTACAAAAAAAAAATACAAAAATTAGCCGGACGTGGTGGTTCACACCTGTAGTCCCAGCAACTTGCAAGCTGAGATTGGAGAATCTCCTGGGAGGCAGAGGTTTCAGTGAGCTAAGATTGAGCCACTGCACTGCAGCATGGGTGACAGAGCGAGACCCTGTCTCAAAACAAACAAACAGGCTCAGTGTCCACAATGTGAAGGGTAAAAGTAGGAGGGCAATGGCTACTTTCTATATGCGCCAAGCTATTCATCCAAAGAATGACAAGAGGGACAAGGAGTCAACCACCTTATTATAACACTAGCCCAGGATGGAACTCTGTCAGGGAAGCTCCCCTTGGAATATGTGCCCATTAGACTTACCAGTTAGTAAGTCCAGATTGCAGTTATGAATACAAGTGGTGAGAAGTTTCCTTCTGAATTTTTTTTCTTTTGAGATAGAGTTTTGCTCCGTCACCCAGGCTAGAATGCAGTGGCACAATCTAGACTCACTGCCACCTCCAACTCCTGGGTTCAAGCGATTCTGGTGCCTCAGCCTCCCCGGTAGCTGAGACCATAGGCACATGCCATCACGCCCAGCTAATTTTTGTATTTTCAGTAGAGACAGGGTTTCACCATGTTAACCAGCCCAGTCTTGAACTCCTGACCATGAGGATCCGCCCACCTCAGCCTCCCAAAGTGCCCTTCTGAATTTAAACTTTTCCTCCAGTTCCACATTAGCTCTAAGTAGAGCTCCAGGACCTTCTCCTTGCCCACCTCCCATGCCAGCCCTGGAATTCAGTGTTCCAAAGAGCATTAATTCCCACACTCATCAAGGGTTTATGGAGTTATTACTATGTGCCAGGCCCTGTGCTAGACACCGGGCATAGAGTGATCAAGGCACACAGGAGCCCTGCCTTCATGCAGCTCATGCTCTGTGAGGAGGTATGTTCAACAGATCATCACCCTAATAATCAGTTGCTCAAAAACATACGTTCTCTGAGAGAGGACAGGGGATCCTGGTACCATCAGAACAGGAGGACCTGTGTGAGTGGGACATGCCTGCCCCCTGCCAGCCTCCAGAGGCCTGGCCAGGTTCTCCCCAGACTGCCTGCCCTCCTCAGGAGTGGAGGAGTCTCTGGGCCCCAGGAGGATTCCCTCCCAGAGACTCACACAGTGCTCCTTGCTCATGCGTTGTCACAGCCCTGAAATGACTGAAAGCAGGCATTCTCCGGTACCTCAGTGTCAGGGAGCTTCCAGGCAGGCTCTGAGTGTGGAGCGTGGGGTGGTCAGTGCTTTCTGCTAGCACTTCTGGATGGATATAGGGACTATCATTATTATCCTAATACTTGGTGATTTTTTTTTTTCTTTTTTGAGATGGAGTCTCACTCTGTTGCCCAGGCTAGAGTGCAGTGGCATCATTTTAGCTCACTGCAACCTCCTCCTCCTGGGTTCCAGCAATTCTCCTGTCTCAGCCTCCCGAGCAGCTGGGATTACACCTGGCTAATTTTTGTATTTTAGTAGAAATGGGGTTTCACCATGTTGGCCAGGCTGGTCTCAAACTCCTGACCTCAGGTGATCCACCCTCCTTGGCCTCCGAAAGTTCTGGGATTACAGGTGTGAGCCACCGTGCCCGGCCAATACATGGTGTGTGTGTGGTGGGGGGAACCCAAACATAAAATTGATGCAGAGTCCACTGACCCTTACAGCTCTAGATATACCCTTACTGGAGAGAGAACTCTGATGAGAAAATGCTGGCAAATTACCATTTTTCTAATTGCTAGTTAGTCTGGCACTTGGTGAGTTTTCAGCCAGTTTGTTAAACTCTTAAGTAAGTTTTGTTTATAATAAAAATATAAATGAGTTTGAAAGTTTCCATTTTTTAAAGTTACCCTTGTTTTTCAAAGGTATTTTCTGAACAGATCTTTAAAGGGCAATTTAAGCTGAATGTAAGGAATTCACACATGACCGGCGACAGGTCTTCATGCAGGCTGATTGGTAACGTGCTGCCAGCACACGGCTGGGTGATGCCTACCCCCTAAGCTGGGGATGTAGTCGAAGGGCAGTGAGGTGCCGCCTGTGTGAGCCATCAGAGGTACGCGGCTGGCTGTGGCAGCAGCATGGCAGGAGCATCTGGGCTGGTTCTCTGCGGTGGTTCTCAACTCCCCTCCTTTCATCTAGAAAGAAGCCGCTGACCCTGACAGCCCACCTGGGGCACATTGAGTGGCTGCATGGGCGCTGTCACATTTTTAAGGCTTTCTGTCCAGACTTCAACACTGATTTCTCTTCAGAGTTTCGGAAGACTGATGACTTCCTCAACGCCCCTGACATCGGGCCGAGGGTGATGGCCATGTCCATTTCTTAGGTATTAGAAGTCAGAGGTGATTCAATCAGATTGTCCCACTGCGGAGACCTGTAGGGCAGCTTCTGACAAGCTTTTTTCAAGGGGAAAGGAGCAGTGACAAGTCGTGTGTGGGAAATGGATTTGAGAATGCTCTGAGTGACCCCTGGAGGCCGAGGGGGCAGGCTTCGGGCATGAACTGAACTCCAGACCCCGCTTTGTGCTAGTCAGTGTCATCTTGCTTACAAACTGTAAGACATGTTTTCTTTTGTGTTTGTTTTCGTTCTTTTGCAGCACTCACACCTTTGACACCCTTTTGGGAAAGAATAACACCCACATAAAGGATTTGTCACATCCAGTGTAGCGCTGTTCTTTAACACTGGCATAACGCTTCCAGGAAGTTTTCCTTTTTTATATTTAAAATGTTACTTTTCTATATGATGTGCATGCAAGCTTACCATAACTCTTCTTAAACTTTTTAGCACCATTTCTAGTATATTCCTGTAAATGTCAATTACTGCAAATGAGTCCAATGTAAGTAGTTTTAGCTTGTTTATTGCAATACTGGCCTCAACACAAAATAAAAATGGTGGGAAGTACTCTTTGATGTTTCTGGTAATCATGGACCCTTCTCCTGGGGCATTTGTTTTGTCTTCATAATAAAAAGCAAAAAACAAACCAAACAAACAAACAAACAAAAACAGGGGGACCTCAACTACTCTGGGAGGTTAGGAAAGCCTAACCTGGAAACAGGGTAGAGCATGATACTTGGACAATAAAAATGTGAAAGATTTGTGTAGATGCAAGATGTGGAGTGAGGACAGGGGGTGGAGCAGAGAGTGGGGCACAGAGAGAAAAGGGTATGAGACGAAGTGGGAGAGATAAACAGGGTCTTATCATCCATTTTAGGGATGTGGGGCTTTATTATAAGGAAAATGGAAGACCACTCAAGTATTTAAGCAGTGTAATGTCATGGCCAAATGTGCCCTTTCTACAACAACTCTGGCTGCTCCGCGTAGAACAAATCAGAGCAGAGCAAAAATGAAGGAAGACCAATTGGGAGGCAAGAGAAGGTGGCGACTTAACCTCGAGTAATTACTGTCTCTGCCATGGAGTACATGGAATAAGTACCAAATACCCAGATAACTGAACAAGTAGCTTTGGTGGGAGACATATAACTGTAAGGCTTATATTCAGCTAACTAGGAAACTGGATCATGCCAACACAGAATTTTATTGCCTTAGTCCAGGAGCTCTGTAACAGTCTCTTTAAGGCTGTACAGGAATGAACAGAGGAGCTAGTGGCTGGGCCTGGTGGCTCACTTCTGTAATCCCAGCACTTTTGAGCTGGGTAGATAGCTTGAGCCCAGGAGTTTGAGACCAGCCTAGGAAACATGGCAAAACTCCATCTCTACAAAAAAATACAAAAATTAGCCAGGCGTAGTGGCACACACGTGTGGTTCCAGCTACTTAAGAGGCTGAGACAGGAGGATTACTTGAGCGAGGAGGTCAAGGCTGCAGTGAGCCACGATTCCAGCCTGCGTGGCAGAGTGAGAACCTGTCTCAAAATGATAATAATAATGGCAGAAAATGTATCAAATTTATTGAAAAACAATAACCTGGCCAGGCACAGTGACTCATGTCTGTAATCCCAGCAAATTTGGGAGGCCAGGGCAAGTGGATTACTTCAGATCAGGAGTTTGAGACCAGTCTAGCCAACATAGTGAAACCCGGTTTCTATTAAAAATACAAAAATTGGCCTGGCGTGGTGGCACATGCTTGTAGTCCTAGCTATTAGGGAGGCTGAAGTGGGAGGATCACTTGAACCCGGGAGGTGGAGGTTTCAGTGAACTGAGATTACACCACTGCACTCCACCCTGGGCAACAAAGCGATACTTTGTCTCAAAAAAAAAAAAAAAAAAAATCATCTGGCATGGTGGTGTACACCTGTAATCCCAGCTACTCAGAAGGCCAAAGCATGAGAATTGCTTGAACCTGGTTGGTGGAGGTTGCAGTAAGCTGAGATCATGCCACTGTACCCCAACCTGGGCAAGGGAGCAAGACTCTGTCTCAGAAAAAAATCAAAGACAAAAACAAAACGATAACCTACACATCCAGAAGCTGAATAATCTCCAAGTAAGATAAACGAAAAGAGATTTGTAGACAGACACAAAATAGTGAAAAATGCTGAAAGTAAAAGACAAGCAGAATGTCTCGAGGGCAGCAAGAGAAAAACAACTCATTGGGAACTTGCAAGAGAAGCCTCATAAGATTAGCAGTTGGCTTTTCAGCAAAAACATCACAGGTCAGAGACAGTGGTGCGCAAAGAAAAGAAATTGTCAACCAAAAGTCCTGTGTTTAGCAAAGCTATCTTTCAAAAATGGAGGCAAACAAAAGACTTTCCCAGATAAACAAAAGCTGAGAGAATTTGTTGCTAGCAGACCCACCTTACAAAAAATACCCACGGACATCCATCAGGCTAATAGCAGATGATCTCACATTAATTTGAATACACACACAAAAAAAAACAAAGGGGACTAGTTACAATTTTTTTTAATGTATAAGTGCATACTTCTCTCCTCATAACTGATTTAAAAAGCAATCATACAAAAATATATATGTAATATATAATGTAATGTTAGGCCTATAACCTATAAAAGGTAATGTTTTTGTCAATTATAACACAAAGGGGTGGATGGGAGCAAAGCAGTATAGACCAAAGGACATGACTACAGTTGATAAAGTAATAGTTATAACAATATATTGCTGAGTTTGTAACATTAATAGGTGTGACATAGGTAACAATAATATATTGTATAATATAATAAGATATAATACATGTAATAGTACACAAAAGAGAAGAGACTAGAGCTATATGGCAGTAATACGTCTATGCATCACTGGTAATCAGCTATCTGTAGTGAGCTCTGGTAAGCTAAGATGTATATGGTAAATCCTAGAGTAACCACTTAAAAATAGTGAAAAAGCATTAAAACATTAAAGCAATTAAAGTGCTACATTAGAAAATATCCACTTCATGCAAAAGAAAGGAGTAAAACAGGAACAGGAAAACAAAAAAGGTGTAAGACATACAGAAAACAAAAAGTAAAATGACATGTAACTCCAACTATATCAATAATAAATTAAATAGGAATGAATTAAACAATCCAATCAAAAGACGGAGATTGTTAGACTTGCTGTTATAAAAATTAACATTATCCAACTATGCGCTATCTACAGGAAATACAATTTAGTTTCAAACATACAAATAGATTGAATAGAAAAGGACGGGAAAATATGTATTGGGCAAATAGCTACCACAAGAAAGCTATAGTGGCTATCCTAATATCAGAAAAACATAGACTTTATTTATTTATTTATTTTGAGACAGAGTCTCGCTCTGTCACCCAAGCTGAAGTGCAGTGGTATAATCTCAGCTCACCGCAGCCTCTGCCTCCCAGGTTCACGCAATTCTTGTGCCTCAGCCTCCTGAGTAGCTGGGATTATCGATGTGTACCACCATGCCTGGCTAATTTTTTGTATTTTTACTAGACACAGGGTTTCACCATGTTGCCTAGGCTGGTCTTGAACCTCTGGCATCAGGTGATCCACCTGCCTCAGCCTCCCAAAGTGCTGGGTTTACAGGTGTGTGCCACCATGCCTATCCCCCACATAGACTTTTTAAAAGTTATTAGAGTTAAAGAGGGACATTTCATAATTATAAAATGCTCAATCTATTTGGAAAGTATAATTATAAGCATGTATGTATGTACCTACAGAGCATCAAAATATGTGAAGCAAAAACTGGCAGAAATGGAGGGAGAAATAGAAAACTCAACAATGATAAGCGAAAGCTTCAAAATTCCACTTTTAATATTGGATTGAATAACTCAGTAGAAAATAAAGGAAATAGAATGTTTGAAGAAAGCTACATACCAACTACAGCTAACAGACATCTGCAGAACACTCCACTCAACAACAAAATATACATTCTTTTCAAGTGCGCATAAAACATCCCCTGGAGAGACCATATGCCAAGCCATAAAACAAACCTCAATAAAATTTAAAGAATAAAAATAATGTAAAGTATATTCTGTGACCACAGTGAAATAAAATTAGAAGTCAATAGCAAAATAAATGTGAATAACTCTACAAATACGTGGAAATTAAACAGCATACTCCTAAATATGACCTATAACCAATGGATCAAGGAATAAATAAAAAGGGAAATTGGGCCGGGCGCAGTGGCTCAAGCCTGTAATCCCAGCACTTTGGGAGGACGAGGTGGGTGGATCACGAGGTCAAGAGATCGAGACCATCCTGGTCAACATGGTGAAATCCCGTCTCTACTAAAAACAAAAAAAAAAACTAGCTGGGCGTGGTGGCGCTTGCCTGTAATCCCAGCTACTTAGGAGGCTGAGGCAAGAGAATTGCCTGAGCCCAGGAGGCGGAGGTTGCGGTGAGCCGAGATCGCGCCATTGCACTCCAGCCTGGGTAACAAGAGCGAAACTCCGTCTCAAAAAAATAAATAAATAAATAAATAAATAAATAAAAAATAAAAATAAAAAGGGAAATTTTAAAAACTTGGAGATGAGCGAAAACAAAGATCCCGTATGCCAAAACTTGTGGGGTGCAATGATCAGGGAAAAATTCGTATTTGTAAACCCCTACTTAAGGAATGAAGGAAGATCTCAAGTCAATAGCCTAATCTTCCACCTAATCTAAGACACTAGAAAAAGAAAGACAAGGCTGCCTGCAATCCCAGCACTTTGGGAGGCCAAAGTGGGCAGATCACCTGAGGTTGGGAGTTTGAGATCAGCCTAACCAACATGGAGAAACTCTGTCTCTACTTAAAAAAAAAAAAAAAAAAAAAGGCCAGGTGTGTTGGCACATGCCTATAATTCCAGCTACTCAGGAGGCTGAGGCAAGAGAATCGCTTGAACCCAGGAGGCAAAGGTCAGGGTGAGCCAAGATCACGCCATTGCACTCCAGCCCGGGCAACAAAAGTGAAACTCCATCTCAAAAAAAAAAAAAGAAGGAGGAAGGGAGAGGAAGGAAGGAAAGAAAGAGAGAGAGAGAGAGAGAAAGAAGGAAAAGAAAGACTCAACTAGAGCAAGCAGAAGAAAAAGGAAATAATAAAGCTTAGAGTGGAAAATAGTGAAATAGAAAATAAACAATAGAGAACACCACAAAAAATTGGCATGAGATCAACAAAACTGACAAACCTTTAGCTAAGTTAACCAAGAAAAAAAGAAGATTCAAATTACTAGAATCAGAAATCAAAGAGGGAATGTTATTATCAACCTTACAAAAACAAAAATAATAAGGAAATACAATGAACAATTGTACATCAACAAAATAGTTAACATAGATGAAATGAACAGATTCTTAGAAACCCACAAACTACCAAAACTGACTCCAGAAGAAACAGACGATTTGAACCAGCAATAAAAAGAAATACCCACAAAGAAAAACCCAAGCCCAATTAGCTTTCCCACTGATTCTGCCAAACAGTTAAAGAAGAATTAATCTCAGTTATTCACAAACTCTTCCAAAAAGTAGCAGAGGCTAAACACTTCCCAATTCATTTTATAAGGCCAATATCACCCTGATGCCAAAACCAGACAAGGACACAGCAAGAAAAGAAAACCAGAGAAAAAATATCTTATGAATATGGATGCGAAAATCCTCAACAATTGGAAATGATTGTATGTGGAAAAAGGAAAAAGAATCCTCAACAAAATACTAGCAAACCAATTCCAGCAGCATCTAAAAATAAGTATACACCATAACCAAGCTGGATTTCTCCCTCGAGCAAAAGATTAGTTCAGCATCTGAAAATCAATTATTGTGGTACATCATACCAGTAGAATTTTTTAAATCACACGATTATCTCAATAGATGCAGAAGAAGCATTTGACAAAATCAAACACTCTTTCATGAAAAAAACACTCAACAAACTAGGAAGAGAACTTCCTCAACCTGACAAAGGGCCTTCATGAGAAACCCACAACTATCACACTAAATGGTAAAAGACAGACGTTTTCTTTCTAGGATCGGGAAAACAACAAAGATGTCTGGTCTCATCACTTCTGTTCAACATTGTACTGGAGGTCCTAGCCAGTAGGAATGGAAGGTATCCAGATTGGAAAGGAAGAAATGAAAATATCTCTTCACAGATGACACAGTCTTATATATGGAAAATCTTTCTCCTTGAAGTCTGGATATTTGGTAAAAGATTTTTTTTAAAAAAAGAAAATCCTAAGGAATCCACAGACAAATGTATAAACAGAATGTTGTATATCCATATTACAGAATATTTGGTCATTTAAAGAAATGAAGTATTAATACATGCTACTTGAATGAACCTCAAAAACATTATGCTAAGTGAAAAAAGCCAGTCACGAAAGTCCAGATATTATATGATTCTAATTTTATGAAATACCCAGAAAATCTATAGAGAAAGAGAGGTCGGGCATGGTGGCACACACCTGTAATCCCAGCACTTTGGGAGCCTGAGGCAGGCGGATCACTAGATCAGGAGATCGAGACCATCCTGGCTAATGAGGTGAAACCTCCTCTCTACTAAAAATACAAAAACTTAGCCAGATGTAGAGACACGTGCCTGTAGTTCCAGCTACTCGGGAGGCTGAGGCAGGAGAATCACTTGAACCCGGGAGGCAGAGGTTGCAGTGAGCCGAGATCACACCACTGCACTCCAGCCTGGGTGACAGAGCAAGATTCCATCTCAAAAAAAAAAAAAAAAAAAAAAAAAAAAAAAAAAAAAAAAAAAAGAACAAAAGGAAGTAAATTAGCAGGGGGGCCAAGGGAGGTGAGGAGAAAAGAAAGGAGGGGGTTATCTTAGCTAAAGGGTATGGCTTTTTTTTTTTTTTTAGGTGATGAAAATGTTTTAAACTTGCAATGATGGCTGCAGATATGTGTGAGTATATTAAAAACATTAAATTATATACTTCTAATTGTGAGTTGTATATTATGTGAATTATATCTGAGCAAAGCTGTCAAAAAAGCAATAAAATGCCAGCCTATATTTTTACCTCTGTCTAAACTATCCCTTGGAGAGGAGTTCCTAAATCCTTAAACTTGAAGATGTGCATTGAAATGCATTTTCTATAATCCAGGTTTCCTGTAGATATGTAACATCCAAAACCCATGCAAAAGGCAGATCTATCAAGATCCTTACACTTAGGGTAAGAACTTACCCTAATTGTACTCATCAATCCATCTCACATTCCAGAAAACAAATCTTAGTCCCTGAGAAGTCTGGCAGAATTGAAAAAAAACTATGCAGCCATAGCCGCCAAGCAGCACAGAGGTAATGGTGGCGCTATGCACCTATTTACCAAGCCATTTGGAGGAACCGACCCAAAGCCAAGAGAGCTTGCAAATGGTCATCCCAGCACCCATCTAGATTATGATTTTTCTCCAGATGCCCCTCCGATTCCCATTTAAAGTTCATTCTAGGATGGGGGCGATGGCTCACGCCTGTAATCCCAGCACTTTAGGAGGCTGAGGGCAGGCAGATCACTTGAGGTCAGGAGTTCAAGACCAAACTGGCCAACATGGTGAAACCCTATCTCTACTAAAAATACAAAAATTAGCCAGACCTGGTGGCAGGTGCCTGTGAACCCAGCTGCTCAGGAGGCTGAGGCAGGAGAATTGCTGGAACCCGGGAAGCAGAGATTGCAGTGAGCCAAGATCATACCACTGCACTCTAGCCTTCTAGCTTGGATGAGAGTGAGATTCTGTCTCAAAAAAAGAAAAAAAATCCTACGTTGATCATTAGAAGAAACCTCCAGTAGGTGATTGGATCTCTCTAGCTTTTAGATTCATACTGACAAGGAACTTTAAAATGAAAAGCAAACAAGTGAGCAACACAACCCCCTGCAAGATTAGCAATACATCAAACAAAATCAGAAGGAAGTTCTAAAACCCCAAACCTGAGTCCAGCAGCCCCTAGTGGGAGGCCCTAGGCTTCCCTGTGAGGATCAATGATGGAAGCAGATGTGGAGATGATATTGCCCAAGGTCCAGGTTTGGCACATTTTCATCTCCATCAACTTCTAGGTCCCCTACCCTCAATACATCAGGTTTCATGGTGCCTACGCTTTTCTTTAGCTGGAATCAAGAATACCTCCTTTGTTGCTCATTTTGCTCAAATAATGCAAATCTCTGGTTTGGAACGCCTGGGCTCAAGCGGTCCTCCCACCTCAGCCTCCTTAGTAGCTAGTATTACAGGCATGAACTATGGTGCCCAGCTTGTTTTACTTCTTCTTCCTCTTCTTTTTTTTTTTTTTTGCTTCAATAAACTCCTAATTATACATCAAATTCAAAATATGATCAATTCCATATTTCAAAGATCAGTTCAAGTTGCAGAAGAATAGATATCATATTATTCTGGTTATGGTATACACACATGCACACACTCACACATACACAGAGAAAGGCTGTCACCAAGTTGTGGTTCTCCCTGTGATTAAGGCAAGCCAGGGCAGATATAGAGCAGGTGACAGTAGGGTTTATGAAGAACCAGTGGAATGGGGCAGGGAGTCGAAGCCAAAACAGCCTTTCAAGTTTTGCCTTAGTATTAGCTTGAACCATATAAAACAGTCATTTCTTTTTTTTTTTTTTTTTTTTTTTTTTTTTTTTTGAGACGAAGTCTTGCACTGTCACCCAGTTTATAGTGCAGTGGCACAATCTCAGCTCACTGCAATCTCCGCCTCCTGGGTTCAAGTGATTCTCCTGCCTCAGCCTCCGAGTAGCTGGGACTACAGGTGTGCACCGCCATGCCCAGCCAATTTTTTTGTATTTTGTGTTTTAGTAGAGATGGGGTTTCACCATGTTAGCCCAGAGGTCTTGATCTCCAGACCTCATGATCTGCCTGTCTCGGCCTCCCAAAGTGCTGGGATTACAGGCATGAGCCACCGCACCTGGCCAAAACTGCCATTCTTAAAGGTCAAAAACAGGTATCATCAATTTCATATCATTTTTGTCTTTTGCAATAGAAATATCCATGTGATGGAAAATACTGCTGAAGAAAACGGACCAATCACATAATAACAATACAAAATCAAGTATCTTCTGTTTGAAACTAGACCCACTGGTTTGTTTACTGCTCACTAAACTTTACCCTCACTCTCTGATAATGTATAGCTCTGAGTCTTTCAATTCAGTATTTTCAGGCAGATCTTTTTAACTCTTGACCATCAGAATATTTGCTTTAGCAGCATGGGATGATGGAAAAAGACTTGGAGCCAGGCCATCTGGAAGCTAAAATATCATGACTCTGGGCAAGATTGAGTTTTAATCTTCTCTTATGGTG